AACTGCTGCTCCGTCCATTCTCAAAGATGCAGGTGAATTCTGAGCACGAATCCGCTAGGATGTTTTTATCACGATTCACACACCAACGGAAACCAAATGCAACTACGTAGCCAGAACACCGGGCAACAGTTGGGAAAGAGCCTCAACTTGAAGCTTGCCGGAAACTGTATGTGATTGGTGCAATAATTGACAGTCCGTATTAAGTCTGTGCGTATATTAATCGGAGACTCACCACACCAAGGCAACCCAATAGACGGCTTTGCATGTAAAGCAATGAAGGACAATCAGGAAAGAGTTTAGACCACAATTCAAACACGTGTCTGAAGTAATGATCGACAATCTGGTAGGCTGATCGTATATATCACCTAGTACACAAACCACCATGCAGCTCCAGCGCCTCAGCAGCGACACAGCCGTAGACCACCGGATAGACTGACGTCATGGCGAGCATAGCGAATCAAATCTAAACACTGGGCAACGTTAGCCACCACTCCATTAGTCACGCTCCAATGGCGAGGCCTGTTTGGTCGTACATATATTTTTTTACGTAATTATGGTGATTATGTGAAAAGCTATCATTAAAAATGCATTAACTCAAGGACAAAGCATGAAAGAAGGTACAACCATTAACTACCTGCTTTCTACCTGGTCTAGCCTACCGATGGTAATTGTAGCGTTGGTGTTAAATAAGGGAATAAATGTGCGCTCCGGAGGTTTTTATCACTCTGTTTAATACTGCTTAGAGTCTGGGTGCTGATAATTACCCGAGCCGGAGGCGAGGGTAATTATCAGCACCCAGAGTCTAAGCGGTATTAAACAGAGTGATAAATAACGACCGAGCACATATTTATTCCCATTCATAAATACCTTTTCGGTAAAAAATATCAAATAATTCGTTCAAAAAATCCCGATTTTGTTCAACAAGTTCTTTTCATGCTTTTTTAAACACCCCTCTAGCAAAATAATGGAGTGTTCAGCTGGCGATTAAGATGTAAACAATCCTTTTATGGAGATTGACGCGCGCGTAGCATGTTCTGCGCGATGTCGCATGCCTACGTGAGGATTGTGAACGTTCAACCAATGAAACGGCAAAAGGCACTGGATTTTTAGGAGACCACATTTTATTGTGACACTGGAAAAGTGTTTAAGACCAGCTAGCCATGTCTTTATCATCCGTTTAAGACCGGCCACGTGACGGGCTCTCGACCAATAGGAATAGCTAAACTGTCTGAGGTATTTATGAACAAGAAATGAATCATACGCCATTAACCCAAGTTTCAATTGTCCAGTTCACTGAAGCGCGACGGCAACTTGAATTATACAAAGCGGCCTTGTACTCGTTTATCACAGTGTACAGATATCCCTTGATGTATCCCGTCTGGTACGGTTCAACAATGGCGATTTCTAGTCAAGAAAAGGATGTAATACCCGTTTGGCAAGATGTATCTCGAGAGCGGGGGGGGGGGGGGGTTGATTGCGTAGGCATATGCATATATTATCGCAACGCGTACGCTCATCAACTGATTCGATGGATGTTGTGATTCAATATGACAAATCAAGAAGAAAGCATACAAGCCGGAATAAATGCATGCTTTCTATACTGGATTTTCACATTTTACAAACAAGACAAAACACAAAGCAAACACACGATTTAAATGTAGGATGAACAGGTATAGGCTTTTCCGGCCAATTTCCGGAAATGTTCATTCACTTTTGAACATCGGTAATTCCTTTTCGTTTGAATTTTAATGTACGTCTTTAATCCCATTTCAATTTAACAAAAGTTCAATCAGTTTCTTTGTCCGTTTATTCGGTTTTGAGAAACAGACGGCCAATAATGTTACCTGTGCATTCATTTACGCAAGCATACCTTTTCTAAATTGATTTCATGTACGGCTAATGTGATTGACGGTAAACGAAAAAGTAACCCCTAATTGTATCTGGTGCCGACGGCATTAAACTTTAAGTAAAATAGAATGGTGAATGTTTGTTATCGTCCTCTAAAAGCGAAAAAGAAGTCTTGTAAACAAATCTGAATGGACATACACGAAAGGTGCTGCTCAATCACTTACTTGATTGAACTGAAATGGAATCAAATGCTCTGGTTGACGCGTGTTCAGAGCAAATCTCAATTTCAGATGAAAACGAATGACCGATTTTCGGAAGTGAATGAACATTTTAGGAAATTGGCCAGGAAAACCTATATTAAACTACAAATATTGTAAAGTAAAATATTGTAAGTATTGTATAAATTATCCTTCATTGAGATGAAGATGGTTATCTCATAGCTTCCATAACAACAGCTCGGCATTATATTAACATTGCACTGAACGTTTAATATTTTGAAAATGGTATGTTCTTTACCGAGCTTCATGCATTATCCATGTCCACAAATACGAACTCTCCACTTTATTTCATATAATGGTATCTGATATACCTGTGCACCAGCAGAAATCGTGTATTGCTCTTATCAAGTTTTGTCAAATCATATATAACTATTTTCCACCATTACAACACAGAAATATTTATATGTACATGTATATAAAAATTGTTTCGAACATATTGTAGAAAAAGTACCTATCTATGCGAAGCTTCACACTGTAGATCGTATCAGATGTAAGGTTATTTTATATTGTGGGCTAATTTTGTTAAATTCACAACAAAATGCCACAATGAATAACACGATTTTTAAACCACAAACAAAATGACGCAAACAGCTACAAATATTAAAATCATCAATTCATTTTCCTAATGTCCGAAAATAAACGTAATATTAGATGTGTTGCTAAATATTTTACAATGTACAAAACTTAAGGAGAGGCAAAGCATGACGTAATTTCAAATTTCAAGTTTACTCTATGTTAACCCATGGGGTTTGTTCCTATTTTGTGAAATAAAACATAACATAACACAACATAACATCTAAAAAGCCGAAATGTTTAACCAAATAATTTTTTTAAGTTGAAAAGTTTTGTCACTTATGTATTATGTTTTACATTGTTATTATAAATATCTAAATCATCACCTCAATACCATAGAGAAGAAAGTGTGTGTGCGTTTGTTTATGGTGTAAACCGTGTTAGAAAACGTGTAAAAAACCAATGAGAGCTTGAGCAAAAAGAAGTTACGAGTTTACAGGTTTTAGGGGCAGTAATAATTGTGGTCATAGCGTTTATTAAGTTTGCGTCTTTGCCATTTTATAACAGTTTAGTTGAAAAGATGCAGGGATCCTTTCCCAATTATTGAAAGGGTGGGATTTCGCCTAGGTGTCGGAAATACATGCATTTGAATATATATTGTACATCTCTTCATTTGTTAATTATTTAACATATTTCCCCATGGTTGATTGTGGTTAAATTTTATGGGAGATAGATGGAGTCCTTATGAGCATATTGCCACCAAAATAGCCTGCTAACTAAATTGTCAGGATCCTTGTCAATTACTGTACTAGTTGGACAATGGTGCAGCGCACGATACTTTTGTTGAGGGTTGGAGTACGGGTGTGGAATGCTAGGGAAAAGCGAAGCTGGAAACAGTGAGCTGGAAAGACCAGCGGTAGTTGCTGCAAAATGTATTACATCAATGTGAATTGATGAAATCACCAAGCTGATCTATGGAACCAATGTATCTCATAGTTCGGTCCATCTGTTGTTTCAAATGATTTAACATCTAACTGCTCGAGCCCGCCGCACATCTTTCCGATTTTGCCGGTTCACCAGATCATCGGGACATCGTACAGACCGTATCTGACCGTGTACCGGGCGACTAAATGAAATCAAGCATGATTGATATTTTTGCACCCAGTGTTGGAGGTCTCGAGGCTGGCCTCAGTATTACATTCTACATACATAGTGCAGTCTGTAGACTAGGGGCTGTTGGCAGTGGCGTAGCCAGGAATTTTTCAGTGGTGGGGGGGGGGGGGTTGGGCGCTGGGGGGCTGGAACATTTCATGGGGGGTCGTCAAGTAGGGGCGTCAATCGCTTGTCAAAAGTGGGGGGTGGGACATACCTTGATCACAACTGATGCATGCGCGAAGCGCAAAGCCCTTACGGCGTGGGGTTCGGGGCCCGCTTAAGGGCCCCGAAAAAAAATGGATTTTAGATGTTCTGTGTGGTGTGATTTGAAGCAATTTCTTACCACTTTAACCAATAATTATCTTAGCACAAAAGATAGTAATTTAAACATAATTTTCGAGGTTTTCTCAGCTAAGGGCATAAGAAAATTGTGTGAACATTGTTTTCGAGCTTGGTGTCATTGAATCAGCTACCAGAATTCTGAGCTATAGGCGTGGGGTTCGGGGCCCGCTTGAGGGCCCCGAAAAATGTTGGATTCTAAATGCTCTGTGGTGCTATCTGAGGCAATTTCTGACCACTTTAACCAATATTTTCTAAGCAAAAGATATATTGTTGTTCATAATAGGGCCCATTGCGTCATGTAGATCAATGATATTTTTTGTTAGAAACTCAAAATCTCAGTGGGGGGGGGGGGGGGGGGGGGCGACTTGGGAGGGGGGACGACAAGGTTTCATGGGGGGGGCGGTCGCCCCCCACGCCCCCCCCCCCCCAGGTGGCTACGCCACTGGCTGTTGGACGTCCTACTCAGCATTAATAATCGAGGCGCCATGTGATTGGCTGTTCAGAATGATCCTCGGATGCGATTTTGTCATAGCCCGCACGTGCAGCACGTGTGTACGTTAATGAACGGGGATTCTTTTGTACACACCCGAAGCTGCACCGAAACTATCCCTTTTTATCTTGTTCGACTTTTTATCTTGTTCGACTTGTTCGAGTATGGCAGGAGGAAACACAATGAAACCTGCCAATTTGGAAGTCAGGCGCTCCAAAAATGAGTGAATTCATATAAAAAGATGATAAAAAGTCCTTAAAACCTTAACCATGTTCTTGTTTGAGTGATTAAGATTTTGTTACGTGTTTTTATAGCTGGTGGTGGCCTCGGCCTCAGTTGGCCTCGGCCTCGCAGGTTGTGGCCAAGGCCTTGGCCTAGGCCTCGGAGGTTTTGGCCAAGGCCGAGGCCACAACTTCCCAGGCCGAGGCCTCAACCTCTGAGGCCGATTCGGTGGAGCAAGCTAGTAAAGAAAAAAATAAAATAAAATATAATAAATATATAATATTTAAATATAAATAAAAACAAGTAAAGGTCGAACGAAATGGAGATTTCCTTTAGTGGATTTTATTTAACAATTAAGCACGAACACAAACACAAAGCAAAACAGTTTTTTAATTACATATACTTAAAGGTTTTCCCCTTCATGAGATCAATGTGGATGTCTCTTAGCTCCTCTTCATGGTTACTCACAACGTGCTATTAATATTTGGGAATTATAAGTATTTTTGTTTCATCCTCGTCATCTACAACAAGTGGCCCTTTGAAATTTAAGGTTTGAAATGTGGGTATTCTGATTAACCTGTTCACCCTTAACAAAAAACATGACAGTAATCCACTTTTGTAAAACGATTGCCAAACACTGTACTATTACATTATACACATACATATACACTTGTATACTCTTGTACATGTATTTATTTTGAATATAGAACAGCAAGAATACTGTCAATAAAATGTTAGTTACGTTAACAATACACTATACACCTAACACCAAACTGTACACCTAAATTATTGTATGATGGTTGATATCGTAATTATATTTTCTTACATTTTCAGCAAAATACCACATTGAATAAGAAAGTTACACACTTAAAGCAAAGGCCACATTTTAACGCCGTTTCAATTAACGCCGACACGAAATCGAATTTGTGACGTCACAGCAAGTGTTCGCGCTGCAAATTCGCAAAAGTTGGGACATATTTTCAACTCGGGCAAATTCGCAGCGAATGTTTCCTGACGCCCTATGTGCTTCCCTATCGCAATCGCGTAAATAATAAAACGGCCTTTACTCAAAAAGTCATTATCCCCCTAGGAAAAAATTAAATTACCAAAATTTAACTATTCAACATTGTACCGTAATTTAGTTTATATCTAGAGTGAAAGTGCATTTACAAAAAAACAGACCAGAATAAATGTACAACAGATACACATTGCCGATGTTTTTACCACGATCCAGGCCTTCGTCGTTGTTGTGTTTCGTGAGTTTATTTTCCAATTAGATACATGAATGCCTTTTGAATTTCGGATATATTTTTTATCTTCCAAGGGAGATAAAAGAGGCGATAATAGGTTTATCAGTTTTAATATAGGTTTTTCCGGACAATTTCGGTAAATATGTACAAGAATTTGTAAAAGAAGCTTTCGTTTTCGTGCGAAATAGAATGAACGATCCAAATCCCTGTTTCAATATAACGCGCAATAACGCGCAGTGTTATTTAACGCATGCCTGGTCGAGCATTGGAATTGATTGATGTGTTCACAAAAGTAGCATATGAGGAATAATTGAATGAATGATTGAATTTTTGAATATTCATGATGATTGATCTAAACCAAGTGGTGCAGTCTTTCAAAACATACCAACTATTGTAATAATAAAAAAACCTAAGTAGAAGACAATCGTTCTTTCTTTTTTTTTTTTGCTCAGCATTTGCCACAATCGCATCATATAATCAAGCAATCGATTTGATAAAATTAGAGAGTAATACAGAAACACATTAAAATCAATTCAGACAAAGAAACAACAAAAAAGTTCCCCGATCCCATGTAACATGACACGTGATGTTTCCCTTTACCGTCCCAATAATATGCCTACAAGATTATTTTGATTGATTTTATTTTGGTGAGATTTATATCTTTTTAACATTTCATTTGCCTATTTCAAATAGGCCTTTGTGTACATAAGAACAAACGCATTAATGATCAATCAAAGCCCGATCATGATTTGTATAGGCTGTAAACTGTATTTAAATTGAATGCATACTTTGCGAATTTAAATAATGACAAATGAAAAAGACTGTACAATTCAGCCCGTGTCACAATAACGAATCGATTTTCTGTGAATTGGATTGCACATTCGTAATAAACGGCAACGCATCCGTCGTACCGAAAACCTAATTACGTATTTGTAATCCTTTAAATGAAACGTTATGCACATTCATTTATTTGAATGATGCAAAATGAAATCGAATGGTAGTTATTGCGAAAATGAAACCCGGATATACGTTGTTCTCAAAATCAGCGCCAAATGGAATTTATGTTTTACACATTCAAATGTACATTTTCCAAAATTTTCCAAAATATTCAGTATGTTCTTGCTTTCTGATAAGATATTCCTGCTACTAAATGTAGTATCTTATAGTGATATTCAATAGTACCTCCATATGACCTTTTTTGTATCAAACGACATTTTGTCAGTGCTGTCGAACAGAATCACCTGAATGTTTCAGCTTAATTAATCACGGCGACATCCAAGCAGCTCCAATCGCAGAGAACACAAAGTCTGCCACTTAGTAGGCTTAATGCGCACTACCGTCGCTACCACACTCTGATAAAACAGGTTAGTGACCGGTGTGTTGCCATCAGTGTTGCCGATGAACACCTGATACGAACAAGTTTACGTTCATTACATTTACGAACAGGATGAGTCAAAAAAGTGGAACCCAAACCCAAAAATATATATTTTTATTTGAAAAATCTACGTAAAAAAGCAATTTATTTTGTGCTCTGATTGTTTGGACAACAACGAAAATGACACAGAACACTTGTTTCAACAACTGTCAACAACTGTAGTACACAATATCTTTATGAACAACCCTGCTTAGGCAAATGGGATTTATACAATCAATTTGTTTTTGAAAAGACTGGGCTTCAAAAGGCTTTAATTGAATTTTTTTTAGACGAAAGAACTCTACGAGTACTTGTGTTTAAATGGCGATATTGTTTGAACGGATTGAGCAATTTAAGTATTTGTTTTCATCTAAAAGTAGTTTATGAAATTAGCTTTCCAGTCATTATTATTGTTGGTGCTACATATGTTTTTTAAATATGAAATACATTTTGTGAGGTTTTGGTTCTGCTTTTTCATTTACAGAATGTCTTTCCATAAACAGAAAAAAACAACATTACATATAGTGCGTGCTCTGAGAATCTGTAATTTACGTTAAATTTATGAAATGAGTTTATTAGGCTCCTTGTTATTCTATTTCAACTGGCATAAAAAGGTTTTGTTGTTGATAAAAGTTATTTCGTATTTGGACAAGAGCCTCATGTTTATCCTACTGGAAGAGGATGTATCAGACTAATTTGCTTCTGCTTGTTGGTTATAATGAGGCACAATTTTAGAATAGCTCTGTACTATCAAGTTATTTTGAAATGCCCTGCTGGACTGTTATAAATGACAGTTTAAAGCATCCTGTAAAATCGTGGCACCTCGTATACTGTCATTTTCAAGAAAAGTGGTATTTTTGTATCAATTTTCAACGCTGGTCGGCCGACGTGCGTCAGAATTTTTTGTTTGTTCAAATACTGGCCCCAATTGACCATATTTAGTAAGTTCGCATTTGTTTGCAATCGATTACACACCTATCAACAGGTACAAGCAAGCTAGACTGGTTTCCTGATCTTACAATTCCCTAACGTCTATAAACTGCTCCGTTCTATCTTATATGGAGTCAGGGAACCAGACAACAGCAAAAAGATTGTTTTCTTGCATCTACGAGCCCAAAACGTAAAAAAATGTCAGTGTAACAATATTTGCTATGTATTACCAACCCCCCCAAAATCCATCCATTTCTGAAAATTACAGCAAAAGCAAATGATGTATATTCCCTTTGAGATTGATATTTACCTTGATGTTTCCGTGTCCATCTTCCACGTGATCATAGTAAGTTGAGGGATGCTTCTGATATGACACCTTGTACTGCGTCACAAACTGACTACTGTAGCCTTGTGTGATGACACCTGTCACCACTGCACTCCCAACGAGGTCCACCTCGATCCAGGGATTGGCATCGTCACTGTACACAGAGTGAAGAGAAGTACAATGAATGAAGTAACAATACTCTACAAATCCGCTTGCGAGAATGTATTTAAAAATCGGGTTGCGGTCAGGAATATGTTTTCCCGTATTAAAAAGAAGAAGAAAAGAAAAGCCAAAAGAGAAAAAAACACCATTCATTGGCGATATTATATGTCCATTAATTAAACCCATTTTATTGGGGGTGGGGGATATAAAATAATAGAGAGTGCATAACAGCATGAGGATAGAGTGTGACATGTGGTATTTCCCTTTAATACTTACCTATAGGGTATCCATCTTTTGTTATTATTGAGGCGTGCCTTACTGGCTGGGCAACAATTAGTGTAGTATTGACTGGACGCCTTGATGCAACCGTCAGGGATCGTCCTGTCTTCCATGCCCAAGGCGTGACTCACGCACTCTGTTGGTAACAAGCAAGGGAAAAATAAAGAAAACAAATTTACTAATATAAATACTAAAATATACCAATTTTAAAATTATTTGATGATGGGCTTTGATTTGGAATAAAATGTACAATCCCGAAGACACTTTTCTTTTATAAATCTTAATAATAGTAGGATATTGCAAATATGTATTTTTAAAAATACATATCTGGCGCTGAATAAAACACATTTCCAACTTGTAAAGCCCGGTTCATACTCGATGCAAAAGCGAAGCGAACGCAAATGTATGACGTCATAGCAAGTATTCGAGCTGCGAATTTCTAAAAGTTGAACATATTTCAACTCGGGCGAATTTTGCAGCGAATGTTTCACGACGTCAAATTTGCTTCGTATTTGCATTCGTGTGGAGTATGAACCAGGCTTAAGTGATATCCTACAGGGAGTGTGCTATGACTTTGTGCGTACGGTACGTACGCGTACGCGTACGCGTGCGTACCCATTTCACACGTACTACGCAGCGAACTTGCAGACTATCAGCTGTTAGAGCACGTGACATGCGTGTGAGTTGACGTCGTGTCTGGCATGATTGTTGTGTTTACTGCTGTTTTTGCGTGATTTTTACATCAAAATCAAAAATATCCAAGACATATAGGTATAACAAAAAAATTGTTATCTGGCCTGGTGTGATGTGGGACATCACGTTTTGAACACCCTTCGGGCGCATAGCACCCTAGGTTTCGCCTCGGGTGCTTTGCGCCCTCGGGTGATCAAAACGTCATATCCCACATCGTACCAGTCAACAATTGTTAATAGTTGTCCCATCCTCCATACCTAGGCATTGCGGACTGGAACACTCTGTTGGTAATATACGAGTAAACAAAGTAAACTGTTACTGATATTGAAACTCATAGATACTGATATCGTTGGAAAGCTAATTCGATCCCAAACTTTTTGGGGGGTGGGGGGATAGAATGCAGAATCTTTTAAACCTCAATGATAGAAAAGTATTGCAAACAATTATAAAACAAAAATATTTCTTAATTTGGGAGAAACTTTTTGGAATATAACAATGCACCGATGTATTTTTCTGGGAAGGTTAATCACATTTTCTAACCTTATTACCTTATATTCTGGAGAGTTACTCCTTACAACCTGATATTGTTAATTCGTGGGAGTTTGCTGCCTTTTTAAAGGGGGAAACAACTCATAAAACAACGTTTATAAGAAAAAAACTGATCAATTTCAACCATATCGTTTCTAGAGGATGCGCTTTATAAACAGTGCGCCCTCCAGAGGGGGAAAAAACAGATTGCATCTTGCAAATTTGCCAAAGTAGCAAATGTTGAAAGTCCTTTGCAGCCGTCGATAAACCTTGTTAATTTTTTTTAATGAAATGTCCAATCCCAATGCAATATAAATTTGTGATATAAATCCATATGCATATGTTGTACCTACGGCATGAGAGATCGCAAGACGGCTTACCAGCTGGGGTAGGTTCCCTCTTTCCCGGGCAACGCTTCCGTATCTCTTGCATGACTTGCTTCATCCAGTCATCCGGATTATCAGGATCAGGTTCCGGAGGGGGACCGGAGTAGCACACCCTCTGTTCGCTGTCCACACCAGCCAAGAGAACTTTGGAATAAATTAAATATAAATACAAATGAAACCAACAGTTCCCAGTGGCTAATAAATATAGAAAAGGTATATTTCGCAACTAAGGATACTTTTGTGGAAACACTCTTTGTTTCAGGTATACTGCATATCACGGGAGGCGATCTCGGTGGAGTGTGTCGGTGGGGTGGTATGGGGGACAATTTGGCAGGGGGATGCCAATGACGACGTCAACCAATCCCAGGGCGTATACATTTTAACGTAATGCAACTAAATTTGCGCTGTGTCTTTCCCAAACGAGAGGGCGCTGTGATGACTGGCATATAGCATTTAAATCGACCTCTCCAATCTCGTTCAAATAAACTGATTACAGAGCAGGATTCGCTGTTTTGGCGTTACCATCCGCACTTCGGACCACATAGGTATTATTGGGCCAGAGGATGGAATATAATGAGGTCGAATCGACACAGAAACTCTTCAAAAACTGGTACATCATAATCTGATTCTGCCAGCACTGGCAATCACAACACAACGTCTTCAAGAACCAGTGGTGCAGAGTCCACACTACAAAAGAGTTATGTATTAAACCCTAAGCAAAGGAACAACACCGAGCAGTCCCTCAGACCCGTCGTCACGGATGTCTGATCACAAAGACAACAGCGGCCCGCTATATGACGAACAAGAACACAGGGAACGGATTTCAAAGGTAATCACCAAAGACCTTACTCTTCTCCACTCTATCATCGTGCCAATTGCTACACTTGTGTCTGATAAGATCATCAGCACAAGTTATACCCACTTAATTGGGAATCGGCAATCAGTCTGGTGAAGAACAAACATTTCGTAACGTCCATTGCCTCCTCTGTGAAGTATGCAATTGCTTAGGAATTGTACAAGGCCACTGCTATGGACAACACCAAACAGAGCGAAGAGCTAGCTGCACTTGTACAGAAGTTCAAGGACATGTCCAACCTCAACAGAATTCTAATTGAAGACTTGGACGTAGGAACTGCCTCTTGCTTCATGGTATTAAAGTGTCGTTGGATGAGAACACGGATAAACTTGTCATACAAACCAGCAATGGCAAACTTTATCTTGGCCTGCAAACAGCTGACATTGACCGATCACATAGCCTTGGACAACCAAGAAAACGTACTGACAAGAAGCCACGGCCGTTAAAAATCAAGTTTATAGGCTATGGCTCCAGTTCCACCGTCTTCAAGATCAAACGTCTCCTCAAAGGGTCCGGGATTGTCATAACGGAATAAGCTTCGGAAGCTTAAAAGGCAACATCATCTGTGGAGGCAGCATGGTTAATTGATGGAAGGATTATCCTTCTGCGGAATAACAAGAAGACGTTGATCTCCTCACTGAAGGAACTGGATAGACTCACATCCTCGTTGACCTTTTTTCCTTGTTTTTGATACCAACTCACTCTGAGCATTTTGTTATATTGATGTCACACTGTGACTTCAGTTCTCACCCTGTAGTAAATTAATCAATGTTTCTGTAATAACGAGATCACTGTATGACTTGTGATCCTCAAGTATTTTGTTTCTATTTTGTGTTCACATTTAATGTTCCCTTGTTGTCTTATTAATGTCAAATGTGTTTATTAATGACGATAATTTCATAGATAATGAAAGTGCGTATTATGAAAGTAGTGAGTTTAATCTACTTGATCTTAATTCTGACTGGCAGTTTTCTGTGTTTTACATGAATTGCAGCAGTCTCTGTGGGCACTACCATGACATACAACATTGCTGTTGCACTCTCAACCATATGTGTCTGCATACATTTTTCTTTAAAGAACAACAATCTCTACAGGGTGGGCCAAAAAAGCGAAACCCAATGTAGGGACTATTGTTTTAGTAAAGTTCTGCATGTTGCAATTTTAAAATCTAGGATATGAAAGCCCAATTCAAAAGCTTTGTTTTAATACAAGAATCATTTAAATCGCTCAGAATTTTAAACACGACCACCGTTTTAAGTTCTGTCCACAGATCGCAAAAAAAGTGTGCGTTCTTTCAGCAAAGCAGTAACAATTCACACACATCCTTATGTGGCCAGAACTATAAAACGGTTGTTGTGTTTAAAGCTATAGTCCATCATTTGTAATTTGTGCATTTTGTTCGTTTGAAGCAACAAAAGAGTTCAAAATCTAATGAAGGATACTGAACAACTAACCTGATGAAGTTTCAGCTAAGTTTTAGCTGTACATTCCGAGAAAAACAGCATTCTAAGATCTCAATTTCAAATCAAAAGTAACTGAATCGTGTTTTGAATTGTTTTGAATTGCAGCTTTACGCGATGTAGCGCACTGATCCGACGAATTATAACAACCGCGCGCGCGTGTGCGTCGTTCCAATACTTGTGCGCGCTGCGCTGAATAACAAACGAACTACTAATTTAAATTTTCCTACGGTACTTCTTAAGAATCACCGTTGGAAATGCCTTCTTTCGTTGATTACTTCAAAATGACAGCTTCCCAGAAAGAATAATTTCACAGGGACTTTAGTTCCCTCACTATCTTTCAACCAAGTTTGTTTTTCAACAATAATTACGCCAGTTACTTTTCAGGTGGCTGCAAATGATAGACTATAGCTTTAAGATTCCGTAACTCAAAAAGTACATAAATGATTTGAATGATTTTTGTACTAAAACAAACCTTTTGAATGAGTCTTTTACATCCTAGATTTTCGAAAGTTCTTGCAAGCAAAACTGCAAATATATGTAATATTACTTTTTCTACAGGATTTTGTTCAATTCAATTTTTGACAAAATGTAAAAGAAATGATGAATTTGCCTTGAAAATAGGTATGACGCCTTCTAGCGAACTACCAAAGATTGTTTGTTTGGATAAATATTAAACCACCCCCAAAAAAGAAAAAAAAAATATGTACCTCATCATAAATGTTGAAATGCCTTAATTTATCAAAACTGGGTAAGCATGTAGTAAAGCTCCCTTGAGGTCACCGTAGCAGATCAAAATGAAGTCATTATTATTTCAGATCATTCGCCGACGTGGTAACGACGTTATGCCGCCGAGGTCACGCGTTGCCCTGGTAATGTGACTAAACATGTCTACACCAACCTGGCCTTACGTGGCAATTCGCACGGTGTACACACTTTCATCAATTTTTCATCCGTTGGAAAATAAAAAAAACGAGACCGGTCACGTTCTGAGTGATAACTACAGTCAGCTACGAGCACTGTCCATTTTTCCAGGCTAATGTTTTCTAAATGTCTGAGATAATTCACATGACCATTTAATACATTTGAGCAATATTGGCTAAACCATGACTGTCCATTCGTTACCGATTAGCCATAAAGAAGAAGAAAATAACAAGATTACGATGCCAAAACTAAAATCATTAACAAAAGATCTGCCAGTAATTTATATCGATGCTCCCCCCTCCATATTCGATGTTAATTTTACACAGGCAGCGGCCGGCCAAAATTTGCAATATTGAACTTGTGGGGAGGGTAAAAGATGCATCGTTATTAAAATGTACATGATATAGTATACAAATATTGAATGCTTCGAGTGGTGTAGTAAAACTAGCCTCCCGAGGTGATCCATGGGCATTCTATTTTCCCTCGGCTTCACCACGAGATAAAGCATTCAATATTTGTTTTATAACACTTCCCCCACAGATTCTGCTTGGTTTTAGTATTTTAAATTATTTAAATCTGAACACAGTTGAAATAAACATCAATTTCAATACAAATTGGTGAAAAATGTATTTCTCTCTTCCAAACTACCCCTTCGCGAAATGTTGGAACCCAACTCTGTGGCGCGCTCTCTTTGGAACAAAACGCGCTACGCGCAACGCGCACACCAGCATGCATTTGCACACAAATACCGCGCCGTGGAAATAGTACTTTGGTTGCTAATGGTATAGTACTTTGGTTGCTACAGGTATAGTACTTTTGGCCGTGCACAGAAAGATAGCAAAAATAGAAAGTATCTGTGACTCACTCTCGACCAATCAAGACACAGAATCTGTGGGTAAGGTGTTATAATAAGTGTTATAAAAGAATAAGTTGATCAGTTTGCCAGCAATATAAATACTATCAGTGAGTTGGTATTTATTGGTCCTAAATTCACAGTACACCGGCACAGCTGCGTTCTGCGCCACTTCACGCAGTATGCCTGACGCACGCGTAAATCTTTAGATGGGGAGGTTTTTTTTACGAGAGGGTCATACCATAGGCTTGCAAGAGGGGTGTTTCGAAAAACATGAATTAAAATTGGTGAACAAAATCGTTGAAATTTTTTTAATTTGATTAGTTTTGACTTGTGGGCCGAAACGTTTTGATTTTGTATTTGTTTACAGAAAAGGTATGATTCGGCTCGGGTCAGTTTCAGCATTGGTGATATGTGATTAAACACAGTGTTTAAAACCAGCTAAGCACAAATTTATTTCCTTATTTACATGGTTACAAACTGGTAATAAACTACTATTTTTTTGCCGATCATAAAATATCCAAAAAATAATATTCGTTTCAAACCGACAAATACAACTTCCAAGATAGGATCAGTAAATTGCATAGCGAAAGACTACTGCTACTTTGGTTGTATGATGTTGGGAAATAGATGATAGAGGATAAACTATTCTACCATTGCCAAGCAGTCAGGAGTTTGAGGACGTACCCCAGTTGATTTATATTCAATCTTACCTGCCATTTCTAACAGCATCAGAACAAAAACTGCTGCTCCGTCCATTTTCCAAGATGCAGGTGAATTCTGTGCACGAATCTGCTAAGATGTTTTTATCACGATTCACACACCAACGGAAACCAAATGCAACTACGTAGACAGAACACCGGGCAACAGTTGGGAAAGAGCCTCAACTTGAAGCTTACCCGAAACTTTATGTGATTGGTGCAATAATTGACAGTCCGTATTAAGTCTGCGTGTATATTGATCGGAGATTAATATACAAGCAAGCAACAAGCAACCTAATAGACGGCTTCGCATGAAAAGCACTGAAGGACAATCAGAAAAGAGTTTAGACCACAATTCAAACCCGTGTCTGAAGCAATGATCGACAATCTGGTAGGCTGATCGTATAAATCACCTAGTACACAAACCACCATGCAGCTCCAGTGCCTCAGCAGCGACAAAGACGTAGACCACGGAATAGGCTGACGCCATGGCGAGCCTAGCGAATCAAATCTAAACACTGGGCAAAGTTATCCACCGTTCCATTAGTAACGCTCCATTGGCGAGGCCTGCTTGGTCGTACATATATATTTTTACGTAATTGATAGGGTGATTATGTGAACAGCTATCATTAATAATGCAATAACTCAAGGACAAAGCATGAAAGAAGGTACAACCAGTAACTGCCTGCTTTCTACTTGGTCTAGCGTACCGATAGTAAATGTAGCTTCGGTGTTAAATAATGGATTAAACATATTCCATTAACCTTAAGGCCCTGCCACACTGTCTGCGATCTTATATTCGCTCTCACTGCGTCCTTGAAAAATAGCTGGGGCTCAACAACAACTATTAGATCGCAGCGACAATTGCATAGGTCGCCAGATGGGCGCCAGGGGGTCTTAATGGTCTCCGATGAGCGCCAATGTCTTTGAACATGCTCAAAACAATCGCAACACCTCTGCGCTGTGGCAAGGGCGCCGTAATGACGCCACTCGGGCGCTGTGCGAGCGTGAATCGTGCGACTTTGAAGTGGCATTGAGGCAGCCTAGGCTTGTAGAATAATTGTAGAATAATTTTGAAACTAGGCTGTGTATTGACCGTTTTGTCTTGGTATTTATGCAGCGCAAGTGACGTCACATGAGCGTATTTTGGTCGAATAGAGAGCGCGACGCGAGCTACTAGGACGTATCAACAGCGAGAAGAGCGTAGTGTGAGCACAGTGACAGCGCAGCGGCAGCGACTAGATCGAGTAATTGAGCTTGACAGGGGTGCATAGAGAGCGAGTTAAACGCATCGTAAGCGCGGAAAGAGCACAGTATGAGCGTAGCTTGAGCTTCTTTGAGACAAAAAGTTGTAATTTTCTTGCGTCCTCGCTGCGATTGTTAAATTTATGAAATATTTTTGGTCGCCGTAAGGTCTCCCATGAGATCGCATATAATGTGACAGGCCCTTAAGGTTAAATTGGCTAGTTCACTGAAGCGCGACGGCAACTTGAAATATACAAAGCGGCCTTGTACTCATTTATCACAGTGTACAGGTAACCCTTGATGTAGCCCGTCTGGTACGTTTCAACAATGGCGATTTCTAGTCAAGAAAAGGATGTAATACCGGTTTGGCAAGATGTATCTCGAGAGCGGGGGGGGGGGGTTGATTGCATAGGCATATCTTTTCTCAACGCGTACGTTCATCAGCTGATTCGATGGAAGTTGTGATTCAATATGACAAATCAAGAAGAACACGTACAAGCCGGATTAAATGCATGCTTTTATACTGGATGTTCATACTCCACAAGCAAGAAAAAAAAAACACAAAGCAAAAACACGATTTAAATGTAGGATAAATTGGAATAGGTTTTCCTATACCAATATTAAAATCATTAATTCATCTTCCTTATGTCGTCCGAAAAAAACCGTACTATTTAATGTGTTGCTAAATATATTTAACAATTTAAAAAACGTTAGGAGAGGCAAAGCATGACGTAATTTCAAAGGTTACTCTATGTAAACCCATGTTGTTTGCTCCTATTTTGTGCAATAAAACATAACATAACATAACCTAACATCTGAAACACCGAAATGTTTAACCAAAGAAATCGCTTTTTTAAGTTGAACATTTTATCACTTATGTATTATGTTTTACATTGTACGTATAATTGTTATGATAAATATCTAAATCATCACCTCCATAGCATAGAGAAGAAAGTGTGTGTGTGCGTTTGTTTATGATTTAAACCGTGTTAAAAAAACGTGTACAAAACCAATGAGAGCTTGTGCAAAAACAAGTTACGAGTTAACAGGTTGAAGGGGCAGTAGTAATTGTGGTCATAAGGTTCATTAAGTTTGCGTCTTTGCCATTTTATATCAATTTAAGTTGAAAAGATGCAGGGATCCTTTTCCAATTCAAAGGGGAGGATTTCGCTTAGGTGTCGGAAATATATGCACTTCAATGAATATTGGAAATTTCTTGCTCATTTTTAAATTATCTCCATGGTTGATTGTAATTGAATTTTTATGGGAGATAGCTTGAGTCCTGATAGGCACATTGCCACCAAAATAGCCTGCAAACTAAAATGTCTATTCTATTTGGTCTAGTTGGACATCGGTGCAGCGATACCTTTGTTGAGGGTTGGGGTACGAGATCGGGATGCTAGAAGACAGCGAAGCTGGGAACAATGAGCTGGAAAGACAAGCACCAATTACTAGATGAATTACATCAATGTGAATTGATGAAATCGCCCAGCTGATCTATGGAACCAATGTATCTCATACTTCGGTCCACTTGTTGTTTCAAATGATTTTACAACTAACTGCTCGAGCCCGCCGCATACCTTTCCGATTTTGCCATTCACCAGATCATCGGGGCATCGTACAGACCGTATCTGACCGTATACCGGGCGACCGGATGAAATCAAGCATGTTTGATATTTTGATCTTGATCCTCTGATGCAATTTTGTCATCGCATTTGATACGGCCATAGCCCGCACGCGCGGCACGTGTGTACGTTTATAAGCGGGGATTCTTTTGTACACACCCGAAGTTGCACCGAAAATGTCTCTTTTTATCTTGTTCGACTTTTTATCTTGTTCGACTTGTTTGAACATGGCAAAAGGAAACACAATGCAAGCTGCAAATTATGTAAGCCAGGCACTCCAAAAATGAGTGAATTCATAAAAAAAAATGTTAAACATCCCATAAAATCTTAACCTTGACTTTGTTGAGAGATTTTTAATTTAATACGTGGTTTTATAGCTGGCCTCGGTCTCGGCCTTGGCCTCGGAGGTCGTGGTTTCGGCCTCGGCATTGGCCTCGGAGGTTGTAGCCTCGGCCTTGGCCTCGGCCACGGAGGTTTTGGCAAAGGCCGAGGCCACAACCTCCGATTCCGAGGCAAAAGCCGATGCCACAACCTCCGAGGCCGATAGTCAGGCAGCTTAGTGAATGGATGTGGACATTCTTGACAAAAGCGCCAAATTGTCCATACATGCTCCTCAATGCCTTAGCCTTCAATTTTTGATAGGAACCAACTTATCCATTGACATTATGGCGGCCGTCTTGGATTTTAAAGATGGCGGCCATTGAAATTCTATATCTACCAATATCTCATCTTTTAAGCCACTACAGTTTTTGTGTCTAAACATACATTCTCAGGGTCAACGAATGCAACTGTACCATTTGGGATAGTGTCAAATGGTTAGTTTGTCCAAATACAGTATTGTGGCCATCTTGTAATTGAAACATAGCAGCCATTTAAAACCTAAATCTCCGAATGCGTGTATTGCTTTTTTAAGCCACTTAGGATCTAAACCTTGGTGTCTAAACATATATTTTCAGTGTCATGGAATGCAACTAAACCATTGGGTTAGTACTACATGTATTTGGGATCGTGTCAAATGGTCAGTTTGTCCAGAAACTTAATACAGCTGCCATTATGGTTTCCTATAAAGGGACAGCACTGGCCCGATTTAGGCCTTTCACCGTCTTTTCATCATGGTTTATCGTAAGAGGACCTGCAATGACCTGGTTCAGGCTGTGCGCCGTCTTGCTGTTATTGTTTGCCTTAAAAAGACCAGCACTGGTCCGATGCAGGCTCTGAACAGTGTTACCATTACCGTTTGCCACTTAACAGGGCGGGCACTGAACCAATTCCGGCTCTGTGGTGTCTGTACCGTCAACACGGAACCGTTTTGGTGCAATCAAGCCAGCATTAGCCCGCTTCTGGTCTTGTACCGTTTAAACTGTATGGTACTGCCACAACAAACCCATAATTAGCTGGTATCGGCCAATACCGTCAAGTTTACTGGGTCAATGCCATCTTTGAACCTAAGCAGGTAGAAATCTCTGGCACTACAGGATTTGATACAACTCTGTCTCTCCACAACTACACGCAGCTGAACTACTTTTGTAGCTCCATTAGATTAAGGCGGGTCTGTGATCGGCTAGTCCTGGTTCTCAGCGGCCGATAGTTTTCCATTGAACCCTTTTCGATGTAGCACCTGTTGGGAGGTTTTCCGACGTTGTTATAGTATAACCGTGACAATCGGTGGGCGTTTGCTCCCAGTCATTGCTTCCATTGTTGGAGTCTTGCCACTTTCCTGGATGTTGTGAAGGAGTGGACATAGCCAAGGGAACTTTTCTTGACTTCAGCCTTTTGTGCCGAAGCTCGCCGTACCTGGAGGAGGCGACACTCGTAATTAATCAATAGTTGGACATCTTAGCTCGCCTGGCAACTTCCCTTCGGAAATCCGAAGAGATAATGCCAGCAAGGAGGTGCAAATTACCTGTGTTAGTGGAATTCAAGCCTCCAGTGATCAAACTGCATGTTGTTTAAGGTTGGGTCAGGTTTCATGGTATGGGCTGATCTTTCCCAGACGGGGCAAGCATGGGCTACTCTGCTGAAGAATGGCACAGAGCCAAAACGGTTCATCTTAGGGTGTGTGGTTTGGCTCCCCTTTCGGAGGTTGATCAATTTCTTTATGATGTTGTTACGGGGAACTAAATTTGGATGAATTGAATGACAGGATACGATGGAGGGTCACCCTAAGGTAGACAAGATGGCTACAAGTCGTCAATGGTGTTCCGGACCATTCGATGTTAAGGGGTCGGTTGACTTCGCGGTTAACGTTCCTGGGATGGAACGAGCAGACTTGGGTCTTAGCGAAATTGGCACGGAGGTGATTGCACTCATAGTATAGAGAACGGCTAATTGCTGAGGTACGGTAAGTTTCGCTAGATGGCTTCGACCGGAATCTTTTGAGATGTAACACAAAGATCGTCTGCGTAGATGAAACACTCAGTTGTCGTGGTCTATTAAATTGTGATTTGTTTTGTGTAGACGTTATACAGCAACGGAGCTAGCACAGTGCCTTAAGGTAGAACGTTTTCGTGCTGTCGACAGCGTTTTTGTTTTGTTCTGAACAACAAAGAAGCATCTGTCTTTGAGAAGAGCTCCGATTCGTAAATGCGAGGTATTGGGTCAACTCCAAGATCTTTTTTTC